ATTCCCAAAGAAATCCAGAAATCTCCCCAGCCTACTCTCAATGTCCTTCCGAGATCCACACTCTGGGCACTGGGGGCCCAGGTGGCCTGGGGAACCCTATTTTCTCCATCACTTCTTGACTGGAATCACAGGACGGAAGGGAGAGCCTTGGTAGCCAGAGCCACTGTAGACCAGTTATTCTTGGAAGTCCTGACAGCCAAAAAAACCTGGACCCACTTCTGGCTCACGTGGCTTTCGGGGCCTGAGACGCTTTAGCCATGGCCTGTCCTTCCATTTACGGTATTGAAAATTACCAAGTATTGGTCTTTTTTTTACTATGTACCCCAGGCCAGCCTTGAGTTCATGATCCTCCTGCCTTGGCCTCCCAAGTGCTGGGATTACAGGTATGTGCTATCATGCCTAGTGCATTTATTGGTTTTTAATCCTATAAAACAAATACAATTCAATCCAGATTCACTTTTATAGCTTCATTTTTAAAAACATGTTTAATTAAATTAATTATTTCACTTATTTTAGGGTACCGGGGGTGGAACCCAGGGCCTTTCACATGCTAGGCGAGTGCTGGCCCACTAAGCCACACCCCGCCCAGTATTTTTCCATTTTTAGTAGACACACAGTAAGTGCCCATATCGACAGGTACAGCACCACATTTCAACGATGAGGCCAGGGCAGGTGGCACACCAGTTACCTCAGACATTCATGCTTCTTTGTGGTGGGAGCACTCAGAAGCCTCTCCAGGAGCTGTTTTGAAATAGACAATTAATTGCCATCAACCACAGTTTTCTGCTCTACTGTAGAACACTACCCAACTCCACCCGGTCATTACTATCATCACACTCAACTTCTTTTTCGTACTTTAAAAGAAGTCTAGTCTGGGTGCCAGTGGCTCACGCCTGTAATCCCAGCTACTCAGGAGGCAGAGATCATGAGGATCACTGTTCGAAGCCAGCCCAGGCAAATAGTTTGCGAGACCCTATGTTGAAAAAAACCATCACAAAAATAGGGCTGGTGGAGTGGCTCAAGGTGTAGGCCCCGAGTTCAAGCCCCAGTACCACAAAAAAAAAAGCGTCTAGAACACCACGCATTCTAGACTCTGCCTGCTGGAGATGGCGCCTAGGACCAACAACAGCCCTGCCCACCCTCAGGGTCACCACCTGTACGACCACCTGCTGCCAGAGACACCAGGTTGGGAACAGCATATTGTCACCTGTCTCTGGCACATTCTTCTTCACTAAGGGTCTCAACTCAAGCCTCACTGCAAGAGGGTGGGTCCTGAGACTTCCACCTGCCCCTCAATTTATGCAAGGACAGCTAGGAACAGTAACAATGACATCTCAAGTCCCAGGTAGGCTTATCAGAGTGTAATGCATTGTAAACCAAGGAGCTTGTACAAGGACAAATGGACAGCCTGGCCAGGTGGCTGTAATCTCAACTACATGGGGAATGGAGATTGTGAGGATTCAAAGTTCAAAGCCAGCTCAGGCAAAAACTTCTCAAGACCTCATCTCAACCAATGGCTGAGCACAGTGTCATGCACCTGTCATCCCAGCTTTGTGGGGAAGCACAGATAGAATAGTCGAGGTCCAAGCCAACCCAGACATAAAGTGAGACCCTAGCTCAAAACCAGCCCTCACAAAAAGGGCTGGCAGAGTGGCTCAAGTGGTAGAGCGCCTGCCTAGCAAGTGCGAAGCCCTAAGTTCAAATCCCAGTGCTGCCACACACACACACACACACACACACACACACACACACCCCAAAAAAAAGGTCTACCGCAAGGAGCAGGGTGGGGCTGCAGATGGAAAGTCACTGAGAGGAAAGCTGGGGGTGAGGTGGCTCTGTCTATGCAACAGGGTTCCCTGAGGGCAGCCTGAGTGACAACACCCTATGAGGGAGGGGTGAAGGATTTGATCAGATACCAAGATGGGGGTTCCATTAAATTGATCCACAGGCTTCTTGCTAAAACTGGACTAAGAGGGTCGAGGACAGAGCCCAAGGTCAAGGCTAGGCAGGAGGACTCAAAGCAGCCTGGCTCAGACTGGGTCAGAGGAGAACCTTTGTCCCGTATCATTCAATGCTGGCTGCTGTGATCAACCACAGTCATTTGGTTCACTTTCATAACTACTAATTAATCCTAATAACCAGTTTGAGTAGGGGCTCCTCCAACTCTGCCTTCTCCTCTCCCCTCATGACCTTGGATTGAGTTGGTCCAGCAGATGGGAAGAGCTGGATCTGCCCCCACATGGGTCCAGTGCTGGCCTCTGTCCAACCTGTCCACTCCTTCCTGGACCAGAGAACACTCCCCCCAAGCATGGGATCCAACCAGACCCCATGCCGCCTCCTCCCAGTCCCAAGCCCCATTCTCAAGGGTGCCCTAAGTCCAGTCTCCCATGTTCCCCTGGCCTGGCAGGAAGCTTGTCTCCATGTGGCATGTCTCCTCAAATTCACCAGCTTCCCCTGGAACACCTAATCCTTCCTCTCCACCCCTTGCTACTCCAGTCTTATTACATCACCCGACTGCTGGTGCCTCTCAGTGACTGATATTTCTTCGGACTTAAAAAAAACACGTCTCGACTAGTCACATCTGCCAGTGTGAACCTGTGAAAAGAGTGCGGGGCTTTGAAGCCAGCTGGAGGCGAGCTTAATGCCCGCTCCACAATTGACCAGCTGTGTGACCTTGGGCCAGTCAATTAACCTCCCTGAGCCCAGGGTTGTTTATCTGCCAGGAATTAGGGAGACAGTCTTATTTACTTTAGCAGCTGGAGTTCCCGCTGGGAGGAACCTTGAGTTTCCATTGATAAGTCCTGAAGGAAGCTGCATGGCGCCCCAGCTCCTACCCTGAAGGGCTGCAGCAGAACTGGGGACAGCTGCCTTGGGCTGACCACCACCTTTTGTTTTTGTTCCACACTGGAGTAAGCAGGTGGAGTGGAAGGCTGGATGCCCGGCTAAAAGTGGAAGGGATACTTCCACGCTTGGGTGGAGGGAAAGAAAAGGAAGAGAGAAGTCTCTGACAAAAGGCACCCGGAGGCTGCACAGCACAGCCCACCCAACACTCCCGGCTCTGGCCTGCCTTCCCCATCGTGGTGGGACCACCTCAGGCAGAGGCCAGCCAGGGGCCACCAGAGCCATCAGGGGCTCTTTGGCCACCTGGACCCGTGGATCTCTTCTCAGAATTACGTTTTCGGCTGCATAAAATGAAGACAGGAGTAGTCATGGGGAGGTGATCAAACGGTTAGCCAACGCCAGCATCGCTGCAGGAACCCAAGTGCTGTGTCGCCCTATTAAACAGCGAGGTCAGGTGGCGGTGCTGGTAAGTGTGGCGTTTCTGAAGGCGTGCATTTCAGACGCCCTGGGACTGCTATCGGGTGTTGTGAAAGGCGTGGGTCACTGTCGGGCACTGTGTCACCGCCCCCGCCCCGTTGTGGTAGTGTGCCAAAATGTCAAATGACATTTACAAGTTAGAGAAATAGGCTGGGGGTGTGGCTCAGGTGGCAGAGTTCCCTGAGTTCCAACTCCGTGTTGCCAAATAATTAATACCTCCATGTTGGCTCCACTCTATCTGTGCCCCCCGCAACCCAGAAGACCATCCCCAATCAGAGCTGGCCATGTCACCCCTTGCTCTGAATTCCTCACTGGTCCCAGTTGCCTGCATAGCAAAATCGGAAGATCTTTGCAAAATAGCGAGACCCTCACCCCTCGCTGTCCAGCCTCATCCCTCAACGCTCCTCCCCTCCCCTACCTGAAGTTCCCAGAAGGCACTGCGCCAGGGTGACCCTCCTCCCCACGCAAACTGCCCAACTCCCCCTCTCCGCCCCACCCCCTGGGGAGAGGTGGCTGCCCTCCCACACCCGGGGCACAGAGGTCCCCAGGTCACATGCCATCATTCAGTGACCTTTCCTCTCTAGCCACACACCTAAACTTGAGGACAGCAAGTGAGACCTGAGTCCTGCTCCACCTCCCCCAAACCCAGCCGGGCTGGAGGAAGTTGGGTGAATGGTGATTGAGTGAATGAATAAAACATGGAAACAAAGACGAAGAGGACTTCAGCGGGAAGAACAGGGGTGGGGGAGGGGCGAGGGCGACACTGCGGTTTCTTCTTTAGGCTGGTTGTCACAGCCCGGGAAGGGCAGGACACGCGGGTTTCGATCTGCAGCGTGTGCCATAGCATCTTGAATTCAGCTCTCTGGCACACAATTAGGGGCGATCACGTCCCCTACTAGAGGCTCAGTTCTGGCTCGTTCCCTAGAGAGCTCTTTCAACGCGTGAAGGAGGAGATTATTCGATTTATAGAAATTCAATTTGCACATAGCTTTTTAGGAACAAATGTCTCCCAGAACCAAGGCACCACCCTGTCTGTGGGTTCTCCCCAAGCCAGAGCTCAGCGACATCTTTTACTCCCTCCTGGCCTGCACCTGCTTAACTTGTCACCCCAATTGCTTGACAGCACTCAGGCCACCTGGCCACCAAATCCAGTGGCCTTTCCTTGGGGTCCTGCATGGTACTGTGACCATCTCCTTCTCCCTGAGACCCTCACAGTCCTGGCTCCGTGGTCTCCACCCACCCTGCGCCACCTCCAGCTTCCAGACATGTTTGCTTGGGAAATGTCACTAGGCACCTCCACATCGGGGCCTCAAAGGCGAATGAGCTCAAGCCGAGGGGTGAGTGTCCTCACCCCAAATGGCCCCCCCAGACCGATCCATCAGCGACATCACAGTTTTCCACCACTGTCTCCCCAGGCTAAGCTGCACAACGGCTGGGGCTGCCTATCTGAGCTCATTGCTGTCCACCCTAGGGCCGCCACAGTGCTGGCACGTGACCGAGCATCCATAAATCCGTGTCATAGCACAAAAGGAGTGGCTAGTTAACAAACGGTGGCTCCAAGGAGAGAAGCAATGGCCTGATGTTGTCCAGATGTTCTTCCAGGGACAAGTGGGGGCCCCAGTGCCCACGCCCCCGGCTCTGAGCTGTGCTCCTGTGGCACAAGTGGCTGCTACCATCCTTACCTGACAGCACTGTGAAGACGGCCGCAAAGGCGTTGAGCTTGAGCCCGTCGATGATGCTGCTGGAGTGGAGGAGCTCGAGACACATGAGGCTGAAGCCTACAGCCAGCAGCACGATGTACAGCACCTCGGAGACCACCGACAGCCACAGCACCCCTGCGGAGCAGAGCGGAGAGGCCCGGTGGGCGGTGAGGGTCCTCCTGTGGCTGCCGCTGGGCCCACTCCCCCCACCACACCCACTGGGGCTGAGCCTGGCAGTGCCCAGCAGAACCGTGGAAGATGCCCTCCGTGGGTCACCTGATCACCAGCAACACGGATTTGAACTCAGAGCCCTGCACTTTCTAGGCAGGCACTCTACCTCTTGAGCCACCCCAGCCCTTTTTGTTTTACTTATTTTAGGTAGAGGGTCTCACGTCTATGCCTGACTGGCCTGGATTGAAATCCTCCTATTTATGCTTCCTACATAGCTGGAATGACAGGTATACACCACCATGCCTGGCTTATTTGTTGAGATGAGGTCTCGTGAACTTTTTGCCTTGGCTGGCTTAAACTGCAATCCTAATCTCCACCTCCCGAGTAGCTAGGATTGCAGCCAGCACCTGGCTCTGACTTCTTCTATGAGTCAGATTTCTCTGCTCAGCCAGCTGGAGTGGGCTCTGCTAAGTATAAACATCCTTGCCCTCCAGGGACAAATTCACTTTAACCTGCCCTTTGTCTACATGGCTACCCCATGGCTTCAGCCTTGGGAGGTGCTGTCATGTGTGCCCTCCTGGGCATAGCTGATTGGCCCAGCCTGATCATCTGACCTGGGACTGACCAATCAAAGTGGACTGTGAGTGTTGAATCACTGAAGTAGCTCAGCAGGGAGCAGCTCAGTGTCCCAGCATTTTGACCAAATGAGCACCTGGATCCAGCCATTCCTGAAGGCCGACTACACCCCTGCCTTTCAGTGCTCTGGGTGTCCAAACTTTGAGATACCATGGCTCCCCTTGTCCCACGGTGGTCTGAATTGATTGCTGGCCTTTCCCACCGTGTTTGGGGGCACCTGCTGTTTTTTCTGTCCTACACCATCGCGCCTCTTACTTAGAGACCCCTCCTTTGTAACGGCCGACATGGTTCTGCTGTAGCTGACCCACCCTGGCTCCCTGTTTTGGGTACTTGGCTCATATCTAGCTGATCCAAGCTCCGTGCCCCTCTAACTTGAGCCATTGGCTTAGGAATGAAGCTCTCTGGGCCTCAGTTTCTTCATCTATAAAATGGGGTAATAGCAATACCTGTCTCATTCTTGGCGCTGTGGGGATTCAGTTACACAGTGATGGGAAGAGCTTATGATTAGCACAGAGTGAGCGCTTAATCCCAGGTAGCTCATGGCTGTTACAGGCAGGAACGTGGTGGACACTTGTCCAGTGGTGACTGCAAATAAAGCCCAGAGGTGAAGGCTGGAGAAGTGAAGAGGAAGAGTGAATCTGCAGGCACACACAGATAGGTGATAAAAAGTGGAATCAGAAACACATCCAAGCCACACAGCCACGTGGTGCAAGCCCACACTTTAGAGAAGGAGGTGGCCCTGTGACTCAAGTCAGTGCAGTGAAAGCCAGCCACGGCACCTTTGCAGAAGCTAGCAGAAGAGTGAAGCCCTTTCTTTGCACCGTGTTTGAGCTGAAAGGATGTAAGTATGGTGCTGACTACATTGCCAGGTGACCAGAGCCTTCCCGAGAGTGAAGCCAAGTCCGAGGAAGAACGGACAAGTGATGGAGGAAGGGTTAGACCCCAGTGACATTGCTTGAGCTCCTAGATCCAGCCATGCCTGAAGCTGCCAATCCATGAACCAATTAATTCCCCCTCTGCATAAACCAGTTTGAGGATGAATTTCTATAACTTACAACCTGCAGTCCTCCTCTTCTGCTTTCTCTCCTCTGAAGCCACCAAACATGTCATTCCCACCTCTGCCTTTTACAAGTTGTCCCTTCTATCCAAAATGTCCCACGGACACCTAATAAATACTACTTACCAAAAGAAGCAAACAAACAAAATACTAAGTCCCCATCTGCTCCCTGAAGAACCTAGATGAAGAAGAACCTAGATTCTGAAACACCCACTTTCATTCCTAGTACAACAGGCTTGCTTGCTGTCAGTCTCTCTCTCGCTCTCTCTCTCCTACAAAAAATATTGCATCTCAGGGGCAATCCCTTGGATGCTGTAGAATAACGCAGTCTTGGCAGCCTGACTGTCGTTAAAAGGCCCCCTGGCACCGCACGCCCACAGCCTCCAAGGCCCTCCGGTGGCTCCAGGCCCACAAGGCGGCTGGGAGTCAGGCACAGCTAAGCCAGGCAGGAGGTGGTCACCCCCCGGGGGCAGCAGGAGCAGCTGATGCTCCCCTCCTCCTGGGGCACTGGCCGCCCCCTGCACTCTGACTCAAGCCCAGAGTGGCTTGTCCTTGTCCACATAGCACTGGCCAGGCCTCCCCTCCCAGCTGGCCAGGCTCCGCTCTTGCCCAGGGGATGAGAGGTGGCTGGGGCTGGGGTCAGGATGCCGTGGAGAATTGGCCACCGGATGGGGCACCTAGCTGGGGTTCCGTCTCTTATTCCTGCTACACAGGTAGATTCAGTTCTTCGTTCCTGAGCACCTGTCAGAAGGTTTCAGGCCCCCCAAGCTGGGGAACCCCTGACAGTAACAATAGCCATTGTCTCTGTGAGAATAATGGCGACAGTTGTGATAAAGGCTGGCGGTCAGGAGGTGCTCGGTCCACACCAAGTTCATCTGCTCTCCTGGACTCTCTCTTTTTAGTCTCTGCCTTCGCCAGGCTGTCTGGGGCACCTGGTGCCTCTTTTGTTCAGAGTGACCAGGAACCTACATTTCCCTCTCTGGGCTGTCATCAACCAGGGCTGACCAGTGGGCCCGTCCTATGACTGCCTGGGACAGCTCTGAGCTGTGATATGCACTGCAAAGTCCCTGCAGGGTCAGACTGGCCTGGCATTGTCCCTGTCCCCTTGCTCAGCTGCCGCCACTTTCTGCAGATGTCACCAGTGTCCTGGGGAGGGATTGTAGCAAATCCTTATTTCAGGGCCATTCTGGAGAATGTGATCCAAGACACCAGCAGTCACATGAATTCCCTGAGACCTCCTACCGGCCCTGCAAGGTAGCCATGGGTCACCCATTTCACAGATGGGAACACCAAAGTTCCAAGGGACAACCCTGCTGGGCAGGGGCAGTTGGGATTCAACCCCAGGAACCATCCTTCACAGGGCAAGTGGGAGCTGGCAGAGGGAAGAGCCACTTTGTCCTCGTTATGGACACTTGTGATACCTCAGTCAAGGCTCCCATTCTGGGTGTTTCTGTAACCTTGATTCCTGACAGCCCCAGTGGGCATGGTGGCCCTTCAACTCTGAGTGACCCAAAGCCCAGCCAGCTACCAAGTGGCAGGAAGGCCAAAGGTGCACAAGGTCATCTGTGCACTCCCAGAGGTCAGGCTGGGGAAGCTGGGCATGGGGAAAGGACCCCAGGTGAGGGACATCTGCCATTTTCCCTGCTAAAGGTACTGGTGCTCTGGCCTGGGTATCACAACAGGGCTGAGGATAAGTGGGTGGACTGGAGCCCCCGAGGGCCACAGTCAGGGACTGCAGATCTGGAGCCAAGCAGCAGAGGAGAGGAAGGACACGCTTCTCATGTGGACATCTGCAGACAGATGATGACGTTCTCACTGAGGGGGAGTGACAGAGTCAGGAAGACAGCAAGACCACATCTGGATGCACAGTCTACATTCACGTGTGACATCCAGCAGTGCCGCCCAGGAGGCAACTAGAACTCAGGTTGTTGACAAGACAGGGCACTCGCTAAATATTGGCTGTGATTGTCACGTGGTGGTGGCTGGCGTGTGGGAGGCAGTGATGACTCTGGGAAGCAGGTAGGCACTGGGCCATAGAGGGGTGGGGGGACCGAGGGGACAGTAAGAGGAGAGGAGGCAGGCTGGGAAGGTAGAGAGGACCTCTCAGGTGACCCTGCATGACCACAACACCTGCGTCTCTCTGTTGGGGATGCTGGCCACCAGTGCCCACTCCACCCCAGAAAGGGATCAGTGCTGCCCTGAGGTGGCAAATAAGTCCCCTAGGTGCGGTGTGGTCTGCACACCTGAGTGTCCCACAAAGTGTGTAAAGCCTGAGGAGTCAACACTGAGTCTCTGAACTAAACACAGAGGAGGAAGGAACCATTTTTAAGATGCCTCTTACCTCCATCAAGAGCCTCTGTGCCTTGCTATGTGTCCCTAACACCTTTCTAGCACTTGTCAATTAAAAAAAAAAAAGAAAACAAAAACAAAAACAGAGAGCCATCCTTGGATTAGCATCTGCTATGGTTTCTAGCCGGGCAGGAAGGGTGCCAACCCCTTTCCTTTCCTCCGCTCCGCCCTGCTGCCTCTGCCTGCTCTGTGCCCAGGGGCCAGAGCTGTCCTGTCCCATTGGGGTTGACCTACAGGAAGAGCGAGAAGCAGGGTGCCCTTCCCTGATGCCTCCCTGGTCAGAGCTTTGTCCTGGCCACAGCCATCCCTGTGGTCCCCACACACAGCTCTGGCCCTCATTGAAGCCAGGTGTTTCACCCTCTCCTTCTCCTGTCTGGTCAGTACAAGCTTCCCACTCTGGAGGGGATCAGCCCCCACCATAAGGCTTTCCTTCCTTCCTCCTCCTCCCTTCCTCCCTCCCTCCTCCCTTCTCCTTCCTCCCTCTCTCCCTCCCTCTCTCCTCCTTCCTTCCCTTTTCTCTTTTTCTTTCTTCCCTTCGGGGGGCAGGGGCGGGGGGGGGGGGTGGGGGGGGGGGGGCCAACCCCTTTCCTTTTCTCCGCTCCGCCCTGCTGCCTCTGCCTGCTCTTGCCCAGGGCCAGAGCTGTCCTGTCCCATTGGGGTTGACCTACAGGAAGAGCGAGAAGCAGGGTGCCCTTCCCTGATGCCTCCCTGGTCAGAGCTTTGTCCTGGCCACAGCCATCCCTGTGGTCCCCACACACAGCTCTGGCCCTCATTGAAGCCAGGTGTTTCACCCTCTCCTTCTCCTGTCTGGTCAGTACAAGCTTCCCACTCTGGAGGGGATCAGCCCCCACCATAAGGCTTTCCTTCCTTCCTTCCTCCCTCCCTTCCTCCCTCCCTCCCTCCCTTTCTCCTTCCTCC